GAAGGTTTTATAGTAATATGGGATAAGAAACTGTAATGTAAAACAAGTCAGTTAAGAGTCAGATTGACTCAGTAAATTTACATACGAATCTTTACTAAACATTCTGATATTTTTTGTCCTATGTACTTGTATTGTTTACTAAAACCTAACCAAATTTTGTGAATATTCACATAGTAAATTCTGAATTAGAGTAACAATTCTCCAGTATAGGTTTGGTCTAATGGACTATTTCATGTAGGGCCAAAATAATTTTAGAGGCTTGCTGTGTTATAACAGTTGATGCTGCCACATCTGGTCATGCTCTATCTGATGACTGTACATCTTGTCAATGCCCTGCAGCATCGTTTAATTTTCATTGTTAGGCTTCCATGTCCAAATCATATCATTCATACCAACTTGCTTTCTATAATCCATCTAGTGTATGAGGATGAAGGTTTCTTAGCACTCTTTCAACAGTTTGATCACACAGAAGTCAAAAAGCACTGCATAAAAGTGTTTTTGTATGAAATAGCATGACTACCTTTTCATTTTACAGCTGCCTGATGTATGCAATGGTTGAATATGATATATGACTAGAAGCCTTATTTTGTCAACCTAAACCCTATTGGAATCATTTCCAGATGGAGATCTTTTGTATTTATGTTGCTACTGTATTTGTGGATTTTCACTTGTTACATTTTACTTTCCATATCTGGAGTATGACTTTTTGTAGGTCTTTTTTTTAAATGGTCAATGTACCCCAAGATGATTCATATTCCTTTGTGTTCCAGTGCTATCAAGTACAAAGGATATCCCCACTGTGGAAATTCTAGATCCCTGACCTGAATACATCTTTATGAACTGAGTGTATGATTAGTTTACATCAGAAAGGGCTGTTACATAACATTTTCAAAAGCAATCAATTTTCACTATGAAATGCCAAGAAATAGTTCTGATTCACTCTATTCCACAGCAACTTTATAATAGCTGTTGTTGTCACATGACTTGGTGATTTGAATATTCAGAACTATTTTAATGTAACATATTTACTCAACCATATAAATTATACTGAGATGACATAGGGCCTAGTGAACTCTTTATTTGTACTTTATTCTTACATAACATAGCACCTAGTGAACGCCTGGAGGGGTCACTTGTTTTAACCACTCGCATCATTATACAGTAGTGTGCAGTCAGTCATCACTAAAATGACATCATATAAGGGATGTTGCAATTTGTACTGTCTTGACATCAGTAAAATGTACACACATGCCAGGAATCACAAGAGGAATTACTCACTCTGTAGGCTACAATACATCATGACATATGAACTTCAAAAGCATAAAGTAAAAATATCTGTTACTCTGAATTTTGGTTTTATTTACTCTTGGGGATCCTGCAGAAAGTACATCTAGTTAATACTTTGTTCTTACATGGTCTAGGTCTTATTGAAGTTTAGTCCTGATGTCAAGTTCTTTCCGACTTTGATGCCAGTGCCTCATCTTTAAATGACTTGGGTACTACTAGTAGTATTTATGAAAATTAAGTACAGAGATTTGTTAGTACAATACAAGTTAAATATTTTATTATACATACAGGTTTTATAACTTGTTACAAGTTCAACCTCTAACATTTTTTTAATATTAGTTTATTCAAATCCAAGGTAATCATCATCATTCATAATTAACATGTAAAAAAACAATTATATAATGTTCCATATATGATATTAAAATAGTATCAACATATCATTTACAAAGATAGGTATTTATAATCAGTATGTTAATGGCTGAATGTAGGATACAACTTTTTTTCACCTTTCAAGCAAAAGCACATAGAAAAAAAAACCAATGTTAATTTTTTCTGTGGACAGTGTAACTAGGATTATACATAATTATCAATTTCTCATTGATTTGTGTTGGTTTGAGCTTTGGCCTGACTAAAAACATCAGCCTCAACACTGGCTAGCTCACACAAAGTTCAAGTTATTCGTAGCAACATACCCTTACTGCAATCACATGAAGTGCACACGTTCCCTTGTGAAATAACTGAGAAAATACAGGAAATATTAAACTTAAAAACCTGCAACTGTTCGGGTTGTATGGAAAAGTGTTAGTTCAAGCTGAATTAGTAGATTACTAACAACTGTATTAAGTTCCGTTGGTCTTCAGAACAAGACCGTGGCAGCCTACACAACCAGAAGAACCTCACCAATAGATTTCATTCCTTGCTACATAACCTATTAACATTATTTCTTTTCATTAACCGTAAATTCCTCCATGATCTTAAATCTGTAACATATAGTAAATGTTACAAACATTAACAGTTAACTGCTTTCTAATTTAAAGGGAGCAGCATTTCAGATTTTGTCAATAAATAATCTTAACTACTCACAAAACTATATTTTCTTAGTTTCAAGACTTATTTAATTTTAGATATTTACAAAAAAAACGATATTTCAACTTCCTTTATAACTTGTTTTTACACCCGGTTTTTATACCTCACTGACACAAACTTAACATGTATTGCCACATCTCCTCTCTCTCTTAACCAACAGACAAACTAGTGCAGATCGAAGCATCTTTAATGTTAACTGCTTATAATACAACATATCTTACTGCTCTGCAACTAACACACCTTACATTATATTTTCCCAGACACGTTCCATATTAAATAAAGGATGGCAAACTAAAAAAAATGTGGCAAGGCCCCTTTTAAAAGTTTCTTTTAGTCCATCTTAAAAACTTGTAATTCTCTTCATTAAATAAATGCACCACATATAAAACACGGGGGGGTAGAACTAAAATGTCACTTTGTAAGAGGTTAACTTCTTTTCGAAACAGACCGTAAAAAGGATGTACTTGTAACAATAGACATTTCTTAATGTAGTTTAACCTTATTTTATATATGTGGAAAGAGCTATAGATGTAACCATTAGCACAATTTTAATTATGTTTTGAAAAACAATTATAAATTAATCATGCAGTCATATACAGCTGATGCCAGGGTGTCACTCAACTACGGTTCTGTGCTTACCCCAGCCATGGAAGGATTTGGTAAATTTGCGAGATTCCTTTCCTTTCAGAGTGAGCATCAACTTCCTGGGACGATCTGGTTGCTTGACTCTCATGTGCTGTACATATACCTAAACAAAGAGAGCAATCACGACTCAATACTCAGCTACTTGACTCTCACGTGCTGTACATATAACTAAACAAAGAGCAATTATGACTCGGTACTCGGCTACTCGACTCTCACTTGCTGTACGTATAACTAAACAAAGAGCAATTACGACTCAGTACTCGGCTACTTGACTCTCACGTGCTGTACGTATAACTAAACCAAGAGATCAATCATGACTCAATACTCGGCTACTTGACTCTTGTCTGTACGTATACCTAACATTAATATACCATTAATCTTGCTTTTTTTACACAGGTTTGAATTCCTAATTAATATTTAGTTAACACTATCACATGGTTATTAATTTAAAACATTATTCCCTACTTAAGTCCATGTACAAAATTACATGATCTGTGCACATAGGAGTATACACTTGTTTTTAAATCTATACTAATAAAATAGCCTGTGTGTGTGTCAGAACCATAGCTCCAAGTGGAAAGAACGTAGAGGCTGGAATTTTGCACATATACTAAGGGAATTCTGAGGGTGTGCACGTGGGTATTACTTTTATCACAAAAACATTTGGGCCAGTTTTTTTGCTCTGTATACCATAATAAGAGAGAAGAATATGCTGCCATATGTTATTTGGTAAAACAAAGTGTTAAATAATAATAAGTTTTGTATCAACAGGTTTATTTTTTAAAAACGTATATAAAAGGCTCCAGTTCCCTGTCTGACTCAGACAACAGGGCACAGGGACAATCACTCAAAGTTGTTGGTCTCAACCTACAAAGTCCATGTTGATTGCTCCAGAGTTGGAAATGACACGAACCTTTCCATCTTGGCACCAAATGAAAAAACATGAAACATAGTCTATCCCGAAACTCTATGTGGATAAACAATTATCAAACACTGTAATAAATTGTACTTTGAAATCCTCACTGAAATGATACGGTATAATAGTGAAAATAAGTAATTATATCTAACGATTAATGTTCAACTTTTATAGGTTTTAGGTGTCATCAAAACCTCCAGGCTTCAGGCTGAATCATAGAAGCAAAACTGGGGAAAAAAGTAAACATATACACAGAGTTTATTAGTAAATGGAAATATGTGCGAGATAATCTCCGTCCATCTAATTTCGTATTCATAGAATGTTTGAAAACAGTGTCTTCCTTTTCAGGATTAGACACGTATTGCTACACGAAAAGCACAATTTTGATCATTTCTGTTTTAAGACAGCTAAACATTGGTCCTCTGATTAGATAATACCCAGACAATGCCGGATAAAGTGGCTGGTAAGCAATAAAGTTGTTTAGCTCAATATGGAAAATATTTTGAACTATTTGTTATTCCACTTACGAAACAAATATTTTACGGAGAACATAACTAAAATTATCTGAACTTTCCTATTGGTTATCAAAAGTACATTAAAAGTCAAACACTGGGTAATGCTTGTGATTTTGTTAGTCTAAAATTTTGATTGATGACATTAATGGTTGTAAAATGTTGTATATTCACTCTCTTCATAATGATTACCATGATAAACTTGAGCTGTTTGATACAGAATGTCCAGATTACGTGTCTTCAAATACAACCGCAGACTGCTAATTAGGAGTAGTCTGTGGATGGCACTGATCAACGTGCAGGGGCACCTACATGACTATCACTCAAACCAGAGTCAGAACCATCAACACATCCTCACCACACATTTTATAAAATCAACTGAAGCCAGTTCTTCTTACTCTGACAACAGAAGACTTTGATATGTGTTCACTTTAACTATTCTTCTTCATTAAACCCCACTATCTCGGTATAAAGGTGCTTTGGCACCCATTTTTTCTTTTGTTCAAAACTTTAATTCCACGACAGTAATTTGCAGGACATTAATGTCCCTTCTCAAGGTCAATTAGTTAACATTACTTTTCATTGGACAAAAATATTTAACATTTATATAACTGACATGAACTTTTTTGTAATTTTCTTTTTTCTGTTACAAAACTCAGTTTAAAGAACTAACCACAAATAATTAGGTGAGATCACAAACTAACCACAAAAGATTGGGTAAGATCACAAACTAACCACAAAAGATTAGGTGAGATCACAAACTAACCACAAAAGATTAGGCGAGATCACAAACTAACCACAAAAGATTAGGCGAGATCACAAACTAACCACAAAAGATTAGGCGAGATCACAAACTAACCACAAAAGATTAGGCGAGATCACAAACTAACCACAAAAGATTAGGTGAGATCACAAACTAACCACAAAAGATTAGGTGAGATCACAAACTAACCACAAAAGATTAGGTGAGATCACATCAGGAACTCCAGCAGCAGTTAGTGGGATTAACTGCAGTTTTCATTGTATTTTTTGTAAAGAAATTATTTGTGAGACTCAGGTTATTTCAAACCCTGTTATCAACAATGTCAAGGATCAAAGCAATTTTCTGAATGAATAGTTTAAAAAAATGTTTCAAACAAAAGTGAGGTTAGAATGAATTCTATCTATGGTTGAAACAGAAATGTGATCTTACTGTTTACAACTTAGGCTTTACCTGAGCACTTTTGTACGCAAGCTTGATCTCCACCTCACTACACTTTGGCCCTACCCAGATGAATACTTCTTTTCCGTTGTCCAAAATCATGATATCGTCATCCACAAGTTCATCTTGACAAAAGTCAGCACATTTCTCCGAGATGGAGAAATACCCCTTCTCGTTCGAGCAGCGAAAAAGTCTTGAATACTGCATGAACTCTGCATCCTGAATTGCACAGATAAAACATACAAATAATAAAACATGGGTCAAATCAAATCTTTGTTAAACAATAGGTTTTGCCAAGTTGTTTTTAAGTTTCTGAAGAATGAAGTGTGTGTGTGTGTATATATATACATCTCAAGGGACAATAGCTAAAGCTACTTGATCAAGAAAACAAGAGATTCTTGGATAATAAACACTAAGAAAACACCATACCTATAACAGGAAGAAAACTTAATTTACTGGAATTGGGTTATTACAGAAACTTGGTTCTATCTCATATTAAACAAATATACCGGTGAAAAATTTGTTTTTTTTTTCATTCCTAGATAAACCTACTTCAGAGTAAGGGCTCTTGAAATTTGTAAAAATATTGCTACCGGTGAGCTCCTCCGTGGTGGTGTACAACACTGTGGTTTGTAATTGATCCTGATAATCAGTAGAAGTAAAAATATAGCATTGTTTTCTCAAGGAAGTAATATCCAATAAAAATACACATACATATATATATATATATCTTAGTAGCAAGGGACAGTTTCATCTAGTGTGCAGATGAACAGCATAAAATTAAATACAGTAAAATACAATTTCTACAATACTTCTAACTTATAAAATAGATTTAAAAATAGTCATTAACAACTGGGCATAGTTTGTTAAAAAACACACTAACAGAATTTGAAGCTTAGTGCAGTTTTTAGAAAGTCAAGCAAAGCTACAGTCGGTGGTAGTCACTATCAGGGCTGATAACACTTCTGAAACTACTGTTCTCATCTGGACATTGTATGGTATTGTTGCCTAATGTCAGCTTGAATGTTGCGATTTCACAGAGTAAAAACTCATCTAACTCTCCAGCTAGATTCAGCACTAATGGGTTTAAAACTTGAACAGTGTAATTTCACAGAGTAAGAATCTGTCTAATATGGTGTTAAATGAACCATATTTATTGCTGGATAAGCAAAAAAGGTTCAAACACTATTTTGTATTATAATAATATATATTACAAACAAACTGTATCAGGTTGGCCTCCACATTAAAATGAATAATTAAGCCAAATTGGACAAAATATTTATTGCTAACCTGACGAAACTTGACACATTTCTGAACTGGTCTGATATGGGCTTTGTTAACCAATGAAAACTAACATATTAAGCCAAATTGGGCAAAGTATTTATTGCTAACCAATGAGAGCTAATATATTTAGTCTCTAAAAATATAAACCATATATATACTACTTACACTAACAGTTTTCACAAAGATGTGTAAGTAAGTTATAGCCTGTTAGTGTAAATAGTATATATAAACCATATATATACTACTTACACTAACAGTTTTCACAAAGATGTGTAAGTAAGTTATAGCCTGTTTTAGAATTATTTTTCATCTGGTCACTATTAGTTATTTCATAAATAAAATTCACAATGATTTATCCTAGTATTTTATATTATGTAAACCATCTGTAAAGCCATATTCAAGTACCTTCTCATAATCCTTGCCTCCACCAAGCCCTACCCAGAAGAAATTTTCGGGCTCATCAAACTCGTTGATTACTTGTAAGCTGTGCGTATTCTGGACAGAAAAAGAAGATAAAAATATCTGTGTATAATTATCCATGAAAGAAGAGTTTAACGATGTAGCTCAACTGTTAACTTTGATTAATTTACACTAATTAATCTTGTATACTTCTTCCACGAGACTTAATTACGGTTTTTCTTATAATTAACCACATAATCTCTCTGACAAATTGTTAGTTAACACTTTGTTAGTGGAATAAATTCCATATTCCTCTGCACTTATCATCACAATACACAATAATAATGTTAACATTGATAACTGAAGTCTTTACCGTCCAACCACAGCCAAAACATACCTCCTGCACCACTGTGTATATTAAAGTATCATTACTAAGTAAAAACCCTACTGTATTAAACATCTGGTTAGCAATTTTCTCAGCTAGCTTTGCTTCATCTTCGTCAGCTTTGCTTCCGATCCACACGTATACGATGCCAGAGTTGTCTTCCTTGTCAAAAGGAACTTTCAAGATGTAACTATAAACAAAATGAGAAATTTTCTTCTGATAAAGCTCAAAAAGACTGTTTGTATATATACACATCATTATTTTTTTTCAACCAAATAATTTCAGTCACAGGTGTTTAAATTTAAAAATTTTTTGTCCAGATGAACTTTAACCCTATAAATAGCCCTTTTAGTGATATTTTCCAAATTTTATTAACAACTTTATTATCAGTGTATGTAAGTAAATTTGGCAGGAAAATATTTATACTTCTAAATTACAGTCATGCACTATCTGACAATCATGCATACTGACAATACTCCTACACCACAGATTTCCCTACAAAAGGTTGTCATGTTCAAAGAACATCACTTCATCCTGCTTGCTTTCCATAATTATCCAGTATAAGAAAGCACCTGTTTCAAGAGTCCAACTGCACAAAAATCATTAGGGCTGCATTCAGTGATTTGACCAATATATGTTTGTATGGAAAGAACTGCATGAATTCCCATTTCATTCTCTGACCGCTTGAGGTATGTGAATGAATGGGAAGTATGACTGGATTTCTTATCTTGGTAAATCCATAACCTATTGACCTGGTTTCCAGATGGAGATCCTTCTTAATTGTGTTGCATACTGTTGCTTGGTTCATTTGGACGATTTTTGCCACTGACCATTGTGCTCATGGATTCTCACCTGTTACTAGATATTGCACTTTGTTTACAATAGCTTGGGTATGACTTATTGCAGGTCTCTTTTTGGGTGGTTCTGGTGCCCCAAGCTAATCTATATTCCTTTGTTTTCCAATGCCATTAAATACAAAGGATATCCACTTCTTGGTAATTCTAAGTCTGAACACATCTTTATGACCTGAATGTATGAATAATTTCCATTGGAAAGGGGCTGTTCCACACTTTTCCCAAAAGTGGTTAAATTTTAGTGTCATCACACTACCTATAAAATGCCAAACAATGTCAAAATGTACTTCTGCTACAATTTGTTCCACCATGACTTTATAATCTGTATATTGAAAATCTTTATAACATACTCAACTCAGTATCTGTACGATAAAAATGATACAAGTGTATTTGTACAAGATCAATAACATAATTGTGTAGTACGTATCAGGGTGTACATAGAACTTTAAAAAATAAATTCCCTGATTTTCCCATGAAGTTTTCAAGTTTTCCCTGACCATTCGCATTATATAAACACACACACAGACACAAACATATAAAGGAAATTATGCTCAGAACTCACTGCATTAACAACTTTAAATGAATTATTGAACTTACATACCAGATGTAGTAGCTAGCCAATACATTTCTGTTAGTGATTACTGACCGAAGAAAAAACAAAAAAATTCCCTGACTTTAGGCATTTTTTCCCCTGACTGTATACACTCTGCATGTGAGTGAAAAGGTCTTAAAATTACCATCCATAATTCTGCAGCAAATGGTAGATTATGTTAAATCAGCTACGAACAAACAAGTAGTTTTTTATCTGTCACAAACAGTACGTGAAACATTTCAAAGAAGAAACTCACCAAAAGGCAGAATTGAGAAGAGCTGCATCTGGTTTCACCTAAATAAATTAAAGAAAAATTAATCCACTAAAAAGATCGCTGGATAAAGAGAATTATTTATTAAAACGTTATTAAATCTTCTATCTGATTGGGGAGGTCTGATTAAGTAAGCAAAACTTCTTCATATTGGTTGTGAAATCTTAGTAAACTTATTTATCTGGTTTGTGAAGACTGATACTGTAACAACTCTTCGTTTTCTGGTTTGTGAAGTCTGATGTTCTAAGTTAGCAATGTTCTTTATCTGGTTTGTGAAGACTGATACTGTAACAACTCTTTGTAATCTAGTTTGGGAAGTATGCTGTTCTAAGTTAACAATCTACTTTTTCTGGTTTGTGAAGTCTGATGTTCGAAGTTAACAATGTTCTTTATCTGGTTTGTGAAGTCTGATGTTCTAAGTTAACAATGTTCTTTATCTGGTTTGTGAAATCTGATGTTTTAAGTTAACAATGTTCTTTATCTGGTTTGTGAAATCTGATGTTTTAAGTTAACAATGTTCTTTATCTGGTTTGTGAAGACTGATACTGTAACAACT